ACGTGTAGCCACCTTAGTATAAAGCGTTTTCACTCACGTGACAAGGCAGCCATATTGAATAAAACTTATGCGTCTTAGTCTACGCGTTCTGCTGGCTACGCGTCTACGCGTCTACCACCACAGGAAGACCATTCCATAAACTTATAGTACGCCAGTCCAGTGGATCATCAACCGCTATAGAAAAATGATATGTGAATGCTCCGTTTACAAAACACTAGAAACAATGATATTTTTCGTACATCGTGTACGTATAGCTTATAATTCCCATTAGACATAATAACGAAACTATTCACCGTCATAGTATATGCCTGTCCAGTGGAATCTCCGACCCGCTACAGAAAAAGTTATATGTGCCGTTTACTACTTATTATTCCCGTCTACTTATAATTCCCATTAGACTTTAACACCAAACCTTACAAGTTTTAATAAAAGACAAAGGACAAACAAATTTTAACTTCTACTTAGAATAACTTTATTTCCATGAAACAATTATTTGAAAAGCGGTACCACTAAGAAAATCTGAATTAAAAATATTATAAGACTAGAATATGAAATATGCTCATTGCGTCCCTCTAACTCTCAAACTGGACATCGGACAACCAGCTTGTACTACACAACATTTAAGGTTTTTGAGTAACTTTCCTTCATGTCATTCAAAAACACCCAAAACAATTCCTCCCCTCTGTTCCTATATCTCCATAGAAACTCCGCAAGATAAGAATCATAATGTTCCTTTCTTCTACCATGGGTCGGCAAACTAGCCTTCATTTGCCGCCAATGTCCCTCAATTTTGTTCGTATGGAATCCCAACTCCTTCACGAGTTCCTTTGAGTGATTCACAGTTCTGTGCTCGTAACCGTGTTTTTCTAAGTTGATGTAACCTTTCCAACAATCGGACATTATCAGAGTACCAGGCTTAATCCACTTCTTTATCAAGGCTAACAATGTCTCCTTTTTCTACTGCAACTATGAAACATTTGCTCGACTCTTCCTCGATTTGGCCGAACACCCACTGTCCTTCCACCATATGCCCTCTGTGATACTTTCTCTTTCCAATTTTACTTTCGTCCATCTGAACTATCTTCCCTGGTCCACCAAGTACCTCGCTTCTCTCTGCGATCGTTAATTCACACATCTCACGACAAAACATATCCCAGTCAACCGCTGTGTTAGGCCCAAGTCCTAGTTCCTCTTTGATTTGGCCCTGTTTCATTCCTCTAGTCCACCAGTATGTAAACTTTATTGCCTCTTCAATCGTTAGATTTGCCTTTTCAAACCAACTTCCTTCTCGAACGCTTTTTTCTAATCGGTGCTTTTTACCATTCACACTTTTCCTGCATTCCCAACGAAATCCATCACTTCTATCACTACATGGTACCCATTTCATCTCTTTTCCACAATGACCGCATAACTGCCTGGAGCAAATCACCCCTTCTACCTTCAACCAGTTCAAGGTAAATTCCTTGTTCCAAAGGTAGTCGTCTTTTAGCTTATCATAAGTCAGCTTCGATTTCTCCTTAGCTTTCGCGAGTAACTTCCTTTTGCTTCTCCACATTGTGTTAAAATGTTCTTTAAAGATGACACGGGACATCCTACCTAAATTCCAATTTTTCGCTTACGTACTACAGTATACATTTTTCCACCCTACGGATTTGGCGAAGTCTGGTAACTTTCTGGAAACTGTACTTTAGCTACTCGTGATTAGCTTGTGCAATGCTCTTTTCATTTGTTGTTGTTTTTTTCTAACGCCGTCTTCTCACTCATTTGCCGCTAATTAAGTAATATCACAATATTCTCTTTGCGTAAATTTATTCAGTTTCATCTTCATCTGCTTCACACTTTCCTTTTTTCAGCTAATACTCGTTCATAAAGGCGGTTAGAAATAGTTGATGAAACGTTACCTTAGAATGTGCCGCCCTGGCCTTTGATCATGTCGTCAACAACAATAACCTCTATTACACGCAATTTTCTCACTCCGCGGCTTTTCAAACGCGGCATACCATTTTATCTGCTAAACAATGATAATACTCATCAACTCTTTGTTCTCCATTCTCACACTTCACATCTTTTAAAGCCACTGATTGTAATCCAATTAACTTGCAACGCAATACTTCGGTTTCCAAGGCGACCACACAAATATCTATTGTCTTCACAACCTTCATTCATTTTTATCTCTTTCTCAAATTGCGCCATTAACATGTCTTGTTCCAAGATGTCTAAGATAACTAGACAACACGAGAGAACATGGAGCCTACTCCATAAACGTCTTATGGAAATGACGTTTGATTTTAAAGATCTTTTTAAAGACAACGTATGGGAGTTTTTACAGAAAAAATCTGCTTCCTTAAGCACGAGTGTTGTCTACCTTGTTCCTTGCATCCTCACGGCAACTGCATTCATCACAAGTACTGGAATCTTGATATCGCACAAGCAGCATGACATTCCATTTAATCTCTACTTCATACTTGTTGGACCACCATCAACTGGAAAATCACAAGCTTTGAAAGAAGTTGCAAACCTTCCCATGTCCATTCTTATAGACACTGAAGATATACCAAACTTCCTTTTCGACAAATGTACTTCTTCAGGCCTGACAAAAACCGTTGCAGACAATGGTAAGGGATTCGTAGTGTCACCAGAACTGTTTGATTTACTTAACAAATTGCTTAAATCAGATGATGAAAACGCTACTGGAGACGCACAACTCCTCTGTGAGTTGTTTTCTGGGGAACGCGTGTCTTACAGGTACGCTTTAGAAAAAGTAAGAGAAATTGGTGCGAATGTACCCTTTTCCATCATCGGAGCAACGCAAGTTCCCTTTGCTGCCCGTCTCATGGCTAGGATAGACCAAGGCCATGGACTTTAAGACCGGTTCCTGTTTATCTTCCTTTCATGCCTTCGACCTACATTGGAAGATACAGAAGAAGCCCTTTCATGGCTTGAAACCCAGCCAGTCAAGTCTTTGACATACATTTTCTTAGAAATGTAACAACACCACGGCGAACGAAAAGCGAACTACAAATTCACTGACGATGCTACGACTCTCCTTCACAACTTACAAAGACAAGAAATACAGAACATAAATGATGCCATTCAGGAAGAGGTCATTATGCCTTTTTTAAGTATTTATATTATATAACAGGACAATTCTATAGTTTTTCGTAAGCACACGGGATGTTGGGAAAAACATGAAAGCTTGGCTTCAATTAATGACCTAGGTATATTGTACCGCATTGTATTGAAGTTATTACTCGGGCTTTCGAAGAAATGCCCGAGGTATAAATTGGGCTTCGTTATTTTTTCTCTTCAGTCACAAATCGCCCTCGAAGCCCTAAGGCGCATGCGTCAAATCAAAGTCTATGCGCATGCCTAGAATCAGCCATGAGCACATGCTTGAGTAATGGCGGATATGGGGAAGGACTCGTCGCTGTTTCAAGTAATGAATAATATGGAGTCTAACACCCACAACATTTTTATCACGCTTGATTTTGCACAGACTTTGCGCCATCTAAAAGGGTGACAATGTTCACGAAGAATTCTTTCGATTTTCTGCTATGAAGCCCGAGTTCACGCAGATATGCGTCTAGTTTTATGATTTATTCATCACTCATTCACTCATTTTGCCTTTCTCATTTGTTGTTTATACAGTTTATAAATACCCTTCTCACTACCTCCATTGACAAAGAGACGCGACAACCAACCTTAGAGGACATTAAAGTGGCTTTAATCAATTTCCCTGGCCCTATCGTAACATACCGAGGTTTCAAGCAAAGTGCCTCCAGAACTGTCCGCATCGCATCGGAGCAAGAGTTCCAAACAGCCAGCTCACATTTAGCCACTTTTAACCAGGTTATTCAACTCCGCGTCCCTAGACAGCCAAAGCCAACTACCGTTTTCTTAAAGACCAAACCCGACGCCATCGACTGGGAAGCGAGCAATCGACTTTGCAAAACAAGCTTATTACAACAACGCTTTCTATGAAAATGAAAACAATTCAAAAAAGACTTGGAGTATCATCAATGAACTGACTAGCTAGTTCTCACAATGAACAAGCTAGTTCTCACATCAAGTTGAATGACTTAACAATTACTGACTCCCAGAAACTCTCTGAAGAATTTAATAATCATTTCGCCTGCATTGGACCAAAACTTGCTGTGAAAATAGATTCAAAGAATGCAAACAGTCGTTCTTATTTAGATTTTATTACGAGTCAATCACCAAGTGCTAGTTTTACATTGAAACCAACAAATGCCTCCACAGTCTTTCTCATTTTCTCCAGGCTTTGTAAATCAAAAGCTACTGGTCTGGACAAAATATCTGCTAGGCTTCTTCTTGAATGCTGCTCCATTGATACGGGCATATTCTCAGATGAATGGAAATGTGCTAAAGTTTTACCATTATTCAAACAAGGAGAGCGAATGGACATGGACAACTATCGTCCTATTTCAATAATCCCTATCGTGGCAAAAGTTTTTGAAAGGATCATTTACGATCAAGCCTATGCTTTTCTTTCCAATAATAATCTTCTTTCAAATTGCCAATCAGGGTCTTGAGGCCACAAATAACGGGGCTTATAACATCGATCGCGGCAATGTTAATGCGGTGGTTTTCTTGGACCTCAAGAATGCATTCGATACCGTAGATCATAGAATACTGCTTTCAAAACTAAGAGCATACGGCTTTGGAGTCTGTAAGTAAATGGTTTGATTCGTATTTAAGCAATCGTAGTCAAAAATGTCTAGCAAACGGACATCTCTCGGATAGCCTTTCATTAATTTGTGGAATTCCCCAAGGGACAATTCTAGGGCCCCTGTTATTTCTCATTTACATTGCCTTGAATATTCCAAGCCACGTATGTACGCCGATGACACCCACTTAACGTTTGCAAGTAATACAGTAATATCAAAGATGTAAATTACTTTCTATACCGAGACCTTCAGAACGTTACTGAATGGCTCGTTGCGAACAAACTAACTCTTAATCAATCCAAGACAGAATTTATGTTGATTGAATCCCGTCAAAGAATAACATCGTTTGGTTCACTTCCATCGTTATCAATTGACGGGGTCCCCATAAAACAGGTTTTGTACACTAAATCTCTCGGTGTGCAAATTGACCAAAATCTGTCTTGGAATGAACACATCGACAAATTATCCAAAAAGATTGCGTCCGGCATCGGAGCCCTGAAGCGTATAAGGCCATTCGTCCCAACTTCAACTCTACAGTTTATCTATAGTTCTTTAATCCAACCACATTTTGATTACTGTTGTGTTGTGTGGGATAACTGTAACAAAACCCTCACTGACAAGCTTCAGAAACTGCAAAATCTTGCAGCGAGGGTTTTGACATTCTCTAGTTATGACGCTAGTGCCGACCCTCTTTTTCGGAAACTTGGATGGAAAAAACTAGAAGTCCAACTAAAAATACAAAAAGCTGCTATGGTCTATAAATCACTGCATGATCTCACACCAGCATATCTGAGTTCTATTTTTATCGATCGTAGCAACATAACAAATTATTCTTTGAGAAACACCGAAGGCAAACTAGCTATTCCTAGGCCACGCACCAATTATCTAAAGAACAGTTTTAGCTATGATGGTGCAGTGATATGGAATAGCCTTCCATGTGAGTTGCGGCAAGCAAGCACTCTGAGTCAATTTCGAATAGGCTGCAGCAACTTCTTCAATTGAATTTTATACACTTAGTATACACGGCACTCTTGGAAAGCAGGTACTCTTTTTATTATGTAATTATATTGTATTATTATTAGTCTTTAGTAAATTAACTTGTGGTTAGCTTAGTATACGTTTGTAAATCCTGAAGAGTCTACCGTGTCTAAATAAAGCATCTATC